CACTCCTAATAGCACAAGGTGGCAGAGGTTAAAACTTTCACGTGTGCGTGGAGTGAATGTGCCGTGTATCTCTTTCCTCTGCGGGCCTTAGCAACACTTTCAATCTAGCGGCGCTGTGACGCGCATGCGCGCGCTGGGTTGGGGACACCCCGGTCCCACGGATGCGTGGGCCTCATCGTCTATCTCCGGCAAGGGGAGGGTGTGAGCGACGCGGGTGCAGGACCCGACGAGGTGGTGGAGAGTGTGCCATCCTGGGCTTGGAGCCAGTGGCACCGGCTCCAGCACCGATGCCGCCCCGACCAGTGTCCCAGGTGCACCTTTAATTAAGGACTCGGGCTTGGGGTAAAGGGAAAAATGCCGCATGCGCTCGCCCGTGGGTAACTGGGACTCAGTGGGGTTTACGCTTTGGCTGGGTGGGGGTTCCGTTTCCTAATTCCTGTTTCGGCCGGGTGGGCGGGGGCGGGCTTTTCCCCCTGGTCTATTAAAGGAAGAGGGGCGGGCTTTTCCCAGGGATATAACTCCGGACCGAGGGCCGAGGAGACGGAGCGCTTCTCAAGTGGTGGCAGGAAAGCTAGTGTCCCCGCGCCGTTCCGGACATGGGCGCTTCGGATGAGGCGTGCTCCCGCGACCCCGATGAATTTCCTGAATGCTTTTCCTCACTTCTCTTCCTCGGGCTCCGCGGGACCGGAGCGCTCCGGTGGCGCGCGGCCCCGGGTGCAACGCGAAGGGGGACGCGGAGAGGGGTGGCCAGTGCGGGATCTCCTCGAACGCCACCTGCGAGGGGCGGACGCGGGCCCAATTCAGGTCCCGCGCGGGGCTGCCCAGGCGGGAGGCTGGGGAAGAGGGGGCGACCTACGTGGGGGCAGCTATGATCAGGGAGAATTGAGTGGCTGGGTGGGAGGGCACGGAGCGGGCAGAACTTGAGAAAAGCAAAGTACCAGCGTGCAGTTGAAGGGCAGCGGGGAGCACGCGGGAAAGCATCCCCTTTTCTCCTCCACTGCTGACCTTTAGGTTCCTGGAGAACTTGGGGGGGTGCGGAATGGGGGTTTGCACATGGAACAGAAAAAGAACTCCCCTCCCCCTTGGCTCCTCTCCCACCAACCCCGTAATGGGGGCGGGGGGGGGAGGCGTGAGCTTGGCGCGTTTTTGGTGCTTTGAATGGAGAACTCCGTTTCCCATAATGCTTTGTTTCTTTCTCTTTAATCTCGGCGGCGGCGGCGGCTGCAGCAGCACGAGGACGGGAGCGCGTGGTGTGAGCAGCTGGAGCACACCCTGGGCGCCAGCGGCCGGGCTTCAACGGGAGAACTAGGTAAGGGTTTGAGAGTCGCGGGAAGAGGCCAAAGGGATTCACAAAGGTTGATAGGGAGGAGGTTTTGTTCGTTATCTTTTTACAATTTTAATAGACTGGAAAGTGGCTGCCCAATGCGTTGTGCACCAGATGAGCGGATAATTGAAGAAAGGAACTAACTGGAGAAGGCACGCTCTCTGACCCATGTGAGGTTCAGTTTTTCCGAATTGAATCCAGTTTGGAGTATTTTTTAATGGAGAGAAAAAAAGTTACAGGTGTAGAAACTCAATTTAGGAGGAAAATTATTATACTTTTATATACTAGCTTTAATATTCTCGTGTAGAAAATCAATTTTAGATTAAAGTGTAGTTTTAATGAATCAGTTTGAAGAGTTTTTTTTAAAGACTAGAATTAGTGGTATGAGGTACCATGATGGAAGCTCAACATTTAAGATTTCTTCACTAGTTAAATGTATTACTAATTCTGCATCTCTGATTTTTTTTGACAAAATTTAACCCATCATGGAAGAGGTAGGGGAACCTTGTGAGCTCCTTTCAAGTATGGACTCACTTCCTTGCTGCATGTCCTTAGGTAAAATAAGCACTTGGAAATAGGAGGTTTCTCATGGATGATAATGACATGAAGGAAAGAAGAGCTAATCTGCCTTCTTTGGGTTTAATGGAGAAAATGGGTCCATAAATGTTTAAACAGAACAAGAGCCCTTTGAAATAGATCAAAATGTGACATCTCTAGGCCATCTGTGCATTATGTGAAGAGTGCAGAAGACTGTTTCTTAAACCAGCTCTAAAATTTCTCTCATTTTCTATTAATGGGGTGGGGGCAGGGACTATTCATTTAATGTATCAGTCACTTCTTGTACAGAGCCTTACCTCAAGAAGAAAATACGCTGACTTTTATGTGCATCTTTAGATAAACATGGAGTGGACATAATGGGCCTATGAATTTACTGTGATGCAGATACCAAGTTTACTAAGGTGGAGATGAGTCCAAAATCTACTCATATTTAAGAATTAGACTTGCAATTGCCAGTGTTATTTGTGTTCAATTCTTTGTAAATAACTCAGGGTATTAATATTTCTCAGGATTTGGCTGACACTCTAAAATTTATCTTGGACTCTCTAAGCCAAAGGAAAACATGTTTTAGGAATATTAACTAGTAGTCATGTTCAGTGTCTAATTATTTATTTATTTTTAACCAGGTGAGTCTGAACAGATCGGTGAAGATGGAAAAGAAGATCTTGTGGGAGACAATTTTGCTACAGGGATGAGCCTTGGCCATGTAAAAGTGCTTACAGTGCAGGTAGCTTTTTGAGATCTACTGCAATGCAAGCACTTCTTACATTACCATGGTGATTTAATCAATGCTATTGAGAACTGTAGTTTGTGCATAATTAAGTTGTTGATGCTTCTGAGCTGTTATTCATAATGTGTCTCTTGTGTTAAGGTGCATCTAGTGCAGTTAGTGAAGCAGCTTAGAATCTACTGCCCTAAATGCCCCTTCTGGCACAGGCTGCCTAATATACAGCATTAAAAGTATGCCTTGAGTAATCATTTGAATAGAACAAGTTTCAAAGGTTTGATATTTCATTGTTTGTTGGGAGCAGATGTCGGGGACTATGTGCAGTTGCGTACCAAGGATAAGATCCTAGTAGTACCAAAGTGCTCATAGTGCAGGTAGTTTTGGCATTACTCTACTGTAGTGTGGGCACTTCCAGTACTCTAGGATGATGAATCTCTTTTCAATGGAGAGAATATTCAAAGACACTGCTACTTACGGTTAGTTTTGCAGGTTTGCATTTCAGCGTATATATGTATATATGGCTGTGCAAATCCATGCAAAACTGATTGTGATAATGTGTGCTGTCTACGGTTTTGAGACTGCTTTCCGACTGTCTTCACGTGCATCTCCAGCATTCGCACCCATTCATCCATGGGTGGGGATTTGTTGCATTACTTGTATTATTCATAAAGTATTGCACTTGTCCCGGCCTGTGGAAGAAAAGAGGATTTTATCTTCTTATTTTAATTTTTGAAAGCTGTAAGATCAGACATTGTAAAATGACATGTTTTGCTGTTGTCGGGTGGATCACGATGCAATTTTGATTAGTATAATAGGAGAAAAATTGCACGGTATCCATCTGTAAACCGCAGGACCTTTCTTGACGGCAGTCCTTATCAGTACTAAAGTAAGATGGTACGGTCTTTAGTCACTGCTATTAAAAATGTTTTTGAAATGTAGGAATTTTTAAAACGATAAAAATTTTAAATAAAATTGAAAGCATGAAGTGTGTTACGTGAATGATCAGATTGTTAATTCATGTAAATGGACCTCAATTTTGCAAAATAAATGAAATTTTTGATCTGAAAAAAACTGGACTCTTTTTTTTTTAAGATTAACAACACTAGAGGATTTTTAAAAAATCATGGTTGGGGGTAGTCCTAAAGAAAAACTTGGGCATGGCTCTTTTCTAAGTTTACATCTATGTAAAGCACCAAGACACCTAATTTTAGGATTCTTTTTACACTTAAAATATTTAGACAAAATGTGTTCATTTGTTTTAAGTGTATGTGTTCAATCTATGAGAGAGAGATGCAAGATTGTAAACCAGTGGGACGCCTGCCCTTGAAGAAATGGGCACACTTGATCTAACAGAAGAACAAACTTGTCAATCAAACTCAGTTTCAGAGTTCTATGATGAAAGCATTTGGTGGAAGGGCCACAGGGAGAGATACCTCCTTGCCTTGGAGGCCAGTAAATATTAGAAACCTGGATGTGGGCTTATTGTTAGGATTTGGGGTTCAGGGGCTCCGTAGCATGACTTACCTTGAGAAGAAATTACTCGTGCCCGGCTTGTTAGCTGTTTGGGACAGATAGCAAGGTAGAAAAAGTGAATGTTGACTAATATAGTAAGTGTTAAATTTCTTCTGCCAGTTGCCACCTAGATAAGGGAGTTTGGATCCTCTAGTGGTTCTTAACTGTTAGCATTTGCTAAAACACAGCCACTCCCTGCCTCTAGAGACTGAGTCAGTAGGACTAGAATGGAGGTAGCATTTTTAACCTATTCCTAGGTGATGATGCTGCTGGTCAGGAAACCACCCTTCGAGAAACACTTTTCAACAAAAACGAAAGACCTCAGCTTCCAGGACAAATTATGGTGTTTTTTAAATTTCAAATTCATAAAATTGAAAGGAGTCTAGACAGATCCTGGTTCACTTTCTAGTTCTATGTTTCATATTTTAATGTTGACCTTTAAGACTAATTTGTCATGTATTTGACAAATTAAACTAGGTATGTGGTAGTTTTACTATGGGCCAACATGAGCATTTAGTTATCAAAAAGAGATGCTGGCAAACTAAAGACCTTATACATGTGTCATTCTTATTTCCTGCTGCCATGGAATTTTTGAATTTTCAAACCTTTTTAATTTTCCCTTATAGTATGGGTCCAATTTAATCAGTAAGAGGAGCTCTTACTGATTTGCACTTTAGCCTTGAGCTAGTTGCCCAAGGCTTCCGTTTCCTCATTAGGGGAAAGGGTGATAATGTTGGTCTACCTCAAGGATATGTGAGTTAAGTAGTTCTCTGGTGGTAGTGATTGGGGGTGTGGATTTTAATTCTTAATAACAAAGTGAAATCCTAATGAAAAGAGACTTTTGGTAATAAATTCTGTCTTCTAGTATTCAGTGTGTGTGTGTGTGTGTGTATGTGTGTGATTTTTTAACGTGACTAATGCTCGAGGCAATTATACAAGCATAAAGAACTCTACAGATATTTCCTGTGCTGTCTAATGCTTACTACTTTGTTGGTGCCTAATCATAGTTAAGTTTGATGTGGCAGCAAAACAAAGGTCTCCCTCCTCTCTAATAAAGTAGCTCAGTAAAAGAGGGGATTAAAGCTTATTTGTTATAATCCTTAACACCACCAAACCTCTGCTTTAATGATACAAGTTTATTGTCTCAAGTGGTTCACTGGTGCTTTACCAAAGGTGCCTAGTATGCAGACAGTTATTGCAGTTTCCACTTTTAATGGGCATGTGTGGAGAGGCTGTGTTCCTTAGGGGTAAGCCCCTTTGTCCATTACAGTCTCAATTCCTTCATCTAAACTCAACTGACCTGGATGATCTTAGGGCCTCTTCTAGCTTCAAAAATTCTGATCTGTCCTTGTTAAAATCAGATTTCTCAAATATTTATAAAAGTGCTTTGTATTTAAGTTATTTGTTTAGAATTTGAGGGGAAAGGGGTAATTTAAATCATTAGTCATGGGCAAAATTAGTACTACATACATATACTATGTATATAACGTACTCATTTCTAAAGAATTGCAGTAAGTTTAGTAGAAACATTCCCAGGCATATTTGCTGACTTTGATTAAGAGGGTAGTTTAATATCCCCTGGATTTTCAAGGTCATCAGTATGGGCATTGATTTTCCCTAGATAGAAGAGTCTATGTGGCATAATTTTAATTAGCCTAAACATATTTTGATTTGAAAGTTGCTGTTTTGGCAATCCTCAGTTGTATTAACTTTGAAATGGGACAAATAGCAAAATGAGTGAAGGTACTGTATAAAATTTCAGCTGAAAAAAATCCTTACTTATAAATCATAGCCTAGCTTTATTTTTCAGTAACTAAGGAAACAGAGAAGCCCAGGAAGAAGTGACTTGCTCTAGTTTTTGATAAATGAAAAATTAGAGACCAATACATGAGTGTCACGCAAATGTTTGGAGGCAGGGCGTAGGGCACCTAACCAGGGCTGGGAAAGGAGTGTGGCTGGGTCAGGAAATACTTTCCAAGTGCAGTGTCAGGGGAGGCAGCCTGAAGGGAGTCAAGGCAGGCAAGAAGGCCAAAGAAGGGTCTTTTGTGGACATAGCTGCTTATGCAAAAAGCAAGGGAAGGACGAGATCAGATCGAAGCTCTTCCAAAGAACTGCACTTGGTTGAGAATGTCTGGCGTGTGTGAGGGGATAGGTAAGTTAGGACCCGCTCATGGAACCTTGTTCCAACTGAAAAGGGAAGTCACTTAAGAGTTTTAAGAGAATTTTTAAGTGACATAACCCAAATTTGCCCATTTAATAAGATCACTCTGACAGCAATGTAGAGGCTGGCTTGGAGAGCACTGTGCCTGAAGTCAGCTAGGAGATTATTTTACAGATGGGAGGTGAATATTTGAATGAGGACAGAGACAGAGGGATAGAGGTAGAGGCAGCTTTCATCTACAAATACATGGGTAAATTTAGTACAATTCCAAACAAAATCTCAAAGGAATGGTTTCCAAACTTCACAATTACTCTAATGTTCATCTGTAAGAATGGACAGAAGAATGGTCAAGAAAATAGTGAGAAAAAAGGAATCATGAAGTGGAACTCGTATGAATAGATATTAAAACCTATTCTAAAACAGCAGTTTAAAGCAATGCAAATATAAAAATAGATGTCTGTTGTTGAGATTTCTGTTCTATGGATTGAAGTATATATACATATTTAGATGATCATTTCGAATTGGTAAAAGATAGATTATTCAGTAAAAGTTGCTTGGATAATTGGTTAACTTTTTGAAACAAAACAACAGCTAAAGCGCTCTCTCAGCCCATGTATCAAAAAAAATTACAGGTGGATGAAGGGTTGAATATAAAAAATGAAACTGCATTATATTACTCTCTCCGCTTTTCTCTATATTTAAATTCTTCATAAACAATTAAAACAAGAATTAAACTATAAAATACTAAGAAGAAAATAAGGTGAGATATGACCATGAGATTGAGAAAAGCTGTTTCAAGCATAACACTGTTGACAGAAACTACTAAAAAAATGAATTTGAGCATATAAAATCTTTACATGAAAAACAACTTTATGCCAAAAAACATCTTAAAATTAAAAAGCAAAAGACAAACTCGAAAATCATGATGTTTAATGTAGCAAATTTCCCTTCTTTCCTCCCTCCCTCCCTCCCTCTCTTTCATATTTCTTTCTCTTTCTCTCTTTCTTTCTTTTTCTCTCTTTCTTTCTCTCTTTCTTTCTCTCTCTCTCTCTCTCTCTCTCTCTCTCTCTCTCTCTCTCTCTCTTTTTCTCCCATTTGGTAGGATGCTTTTTCATTTTGTTCATGGTTTCCTTCACTGTGCAAAAACTTTTTCGTTTGATGTGGTCTCATTTGTTTATTTTTGTTTTTATTGCTCAAACTGTCCCCTTTAAAAATTAGCCACAGTGAAAATGAAAATCCAACAAACCTGGTCGTAAGTTAAAGGAGGCAGATCCTCTCCACTGACTGTTTTCTGTTCTAAATAACATTTTTCTTGAAGTGTTTTGTCTCTAGCCAAAAAGAAGCCCATCCAGGCACTAGTAGTTGAGGATGTATGCTGCCCTGCTAAGAGCAATCCAATAAGCATGCCTGCTACTTCATCATCTGTCAAAGGACGCCCATCCCTATAGAAAGAACCAAACACACAAATTTAACATTTTGGCAGACATATTTCATGCCTCATCCTTTAAATAAAGAGTCAAAATGAATAAATTTTTCAGGTATAATAGTTTCTTGCATTTGCCCATCACAAGTCAGAATTTTTTTTTCCATTAGGGAAAAGAGAGAGACCAATAGAAAATACGATTTTGATTACAAAAGACTTCATTACAGTTTATCTAGCAAATTTTTCACCATGCATAGTCACTGGGATTCCACTAAGGTACAAGATCCCGAAATTTATGTCTCATCCATTTAAAAAGTCCAAAGGTCATAGCTATTGATCTTGCATTACTTTTTAACTGGCTATATTATTTAACTATGTTTTAATGTGTAATTTCCTGCTTCAGCTTAATACGTGATCTGAACAGCTCTTACTTGTAAGTAGACTCTAGTAAAGTTTGGAGAATGTCATCAATTTTTTCTTCTGACTGTCTGCGTTTCTGAATTGCCTTATAGAAAATATTCTTGATCTCTCGATGAGCTCTGTCCCTGCGTCTGTAATTCAAAGAAGAAAATAACTTCAAAAAATAAAGTAGTACTTTCTGGCATCAAATTCATTTTGAAAATAACCGGGACCTAGCTTAAAGCAACCTTATTTAACTTTGTTGACTCTAAAATAATTGACAAAACTCAGAACCAAGAGAAAAAAAAAAAGGCACCATGAAAATTATATTGTTAGGAATTTCTAGGGCCTCTTAGGCAAGAAATGTATTTTAACATATAGATCTCTGATTCTTAACATACTACCTTTGTTCTACTAAAGGTCTAAAGCAAGACTCAAATGATTATTCCTTTAGAATCATTTCGGTTTAATAGAAAGCAGAACACTCTTTTAAGTTAACATGAAATTTAAATTTTAACCAAATTCTGGAAGCAGATGAGAATCACTCTGGTTCTTCAAAAGAATCTAGGATTTAAATAAACCTGAGATTTACAGAGGATTGTCTAAAGCTAGGACTTAGGCTATGACTACAGCATACAGGGTTTGATTCTACTTTTCACTTTCTAAGAAAACATAGTTTTATAGAGGGTAAAAATACTAGGAAACTCAGAAAACAAACTTCACTAGGTAATAGGTACTGTAAGTGTTTTATATGAATTACTCACTTTGACCTCCTGCAAGGTAGATGCTATTATCCTCATGTCACAGACAGCTGCATAAGATCACACAGCCAGTGAGCAGTGGAGCCAAACTTTAAAATCAGGCAATTTGACTACCTTGCCCCTATTTAAACAAGGACTTCGAATAAAAATTCCTACACTGCATCATTTTTTTAAGACTGCCACCAGAAATCAACCGAGAAAGCAGCAGAGTCCGGAAAACACTGTTTAAGAAAGTGAATGGAATATTTTGGTTAAATCTGTTGTTTCAGGTAAGACAGAAAAAAGACTAGGCTGGAAAGACTAGTAAAAGGCCTATCATACCTAGCTCAGGAGTTTCTGACTTCATCCAGGAGATAGGGAAGGTGGAAATAGGCTCAATACACATTTATGGAGAAATTACTATCCCAGGGCTGTGCTGGATTTTCTAACGTAATATGGATAAAAGCATTCTGAAAACTGCAAAGCTCTCTTACAAGTATAAGGTTTTAATGAGTTCCAGAGAACCTCTCCTGGCTCTCTCCTTTGCTCCCACCCCTCTTTATTCTCTAAGTGGATAAAAGTACAGAAACGGAAGGAAAAGTATCAATTTGATGCCTCTCTATCTCTCACATGAACAGAAAAGAATCAACAAAGGTACAAAAAGCCTCCTAATATGAAAGACATTAAGCTACACATCAAGTCCTATGAGCAACATTTCTTTGTATCACAGATGGTCCCTGCCCTTTAGGTGATCACAGTACAGCACACAAGGAGACAAAGAGAAAATTAAAGGCACTGACACGTCAAACAAAGAAATTTCACAATATACTACAAAACAGTCAAATACTTTCAAACAAGTGCTTCGAGGGCTGTATCACTTTTAGGTAGAGTTCAGAGGCTTTCCTTAATACAAGGAATATGTGAGATAAGATTTTAAAATATAGACAACAAATTACTTTTTTAATAAACTGAAACTTACCTTGAATGAGCTCATTATATAGTTTATATAAAGAAAATTTGTCCTGATTTCTCACAGAAGAATGGGGGCTCATAATATCCCCCAATTTATTGTTTTATGTTTAATTTTTATCTTACCAAAGCATACCAACACTACAGTAATTATACAGAGTTAAATCACCAAATATAGTTTCTTTATCCATACCTGAAACTAGGCAAAGGGAGCCAAGCTGGCAACAGCCAGGCTGCATGGCTAAAACCTCCATCCAAATCTGCATACAGTTGTGCCACCTTTTCATTGAGCTGACTTCTGATTTCCTTTCCATGTAAACAATGGCTAGCTGTTAAAATTATAAGCTCAGAAAGAGCTTCAAACAAATCTACAGGAAAAAAAGATCATTCCCATTAATATTGCCAAAAATTATTTTGGAATATTCTATTTTCTTAGAGATCTAAAATAACTGTGAAGGAAAACTGAGAATAAAAACAACTCGAGAACCTATTCATACCATCCAAAAAGCTTATAGAGAGATATGTGGCTGCCCTACTACACAAAACAAAGAGAGGCAAGAAACCAAATGATGGGAAGTACCCCAACCCTCTGAACAACCAAAGTCGATGCCACAAAGGCATCTCGAAACCTCACTCATGAGCCCTTCACCTTGAAAAGATCAAGATAAAAATTAATGAGTTCAAGGTCACGGTATAACAAAAGCAGCAAAAAGTCTATTTAGTGCATATGAGGACAATAATGAGGTGCTTCCCAAGGAATAGCAGTCCTAAAACCGAAGAACAGATTATTTCCCAGGTCCAAAGTGAGTACGTCAGGACTGAAAATTGGAAGTATTGACCATGTATAAAAGAAAACTGTAACTAATCACCAGCTGGCATACCCTAACACTGGAGACAGGTTCATCAGGCCAGCACACTTCAATGACACTTAAAGTTATAAAAATTATCCAATCAATGCCCCACTCTTTAATTCCATGTTCACCAAATGAACTTCCAATCATCATCTGGCTTTCCAATTAGATTTACCATCAAAGAGAAGTTCAGAAAATATTCTGGTGTTCTTGGTGCTATAATGTCTCATTCGTATTTAGTAAATAGTTGGCATTCTAGATGGTTAGAAATACTATATCAACTTGAGGTATATATATTTTTTTAATAAAGTTTCTGGACCTTTTATAGAGCCAAAGACCAGACCCAGATGTGGTGACCTACACAAAGATCTTAATGTCTCGTAGGCAGAGGTTGCTTCCTGTTATGAGGATGGCAATTGTCTCAGAAGGCAACACTTATTGCAGTCTAATATAAAGACTGCATCACAGAAACATCCAAAGAAGGTCATGTTAAATACACAATATAATGCAAGAAAGTATATAATACATTTTAAAAAACTTCTACTGAAAATGACTAAATTCAAACTTTTAATAAAGGTAGAGTAAGCTCATATATTTAAATTTACTTTTTTTGTGGAATAAATCATTCCCATATAACCTCGGATAAATAAGATTATTACATATATAATTGTTTAGACTTTTACTTGCCCATTAGGGATAAAAAATTGTTTTATTAATTTAAAATGATCTTGCAAAATTTTTATATTCAGTTTACTCCAAAATCTACTCATGAATCATTTTTATATTATTTGTACAAATGAGCTGAGTAATATGCATGTTACTGAGCCATTTTAAGGTTTTGCTAAGTGAGCAGCAATAATCACTTCCTCTCAGGTCTTTTTAACTCTATGGTAATCATAACATGTTCTTTCTGTTAAACCTACGGTGGTTTTACATATGTTGTAGTTTGATTTTTATATACACACACATATTATTAGATTTCCAGTCAGAAAAGTAGAAACATTAGCAAAAATACAAAGCCGAAATGTTTTGCTTACTTTTTTCTCCACTTTCTCCCCAACTTTGAAAGTATTCCTTTGTTTCTTTTTCAATTATAGAAACATGCTGTCTAAAATGGGCTATGTTAAGGCCACTTTTTAACATTTTCTTCTGCTCCAAGAAAATCTTAAAAAAATTAAGAATATACAGCATTAAAACACAATTTTGTTTTATCACAAGATCTATGTGGGTTATTATTACTCTGTAACACTCAAGAAAAACCTTCTAAAAAAATTGAAAATAAAAGTAGTAAAAAGATTTTTAGAAACTACACCAGATGTGGCAAACTTAGAACTTTTGTGCACAGATCTGAAGTAACGTGTAGAAGACACTTGTTACACTGGCCCTAGACAAATGATGAATTAAGAATCCCACTTCCTGCTTTCCTTCCTTACATCCTTTCCCATTCCTGACCCCAGGGCTTCCTTCCTTCCTTTTATTCTTCCTTCTTCCTTCTAGGAATGTTTATTAAGCATCTATTATGTGCCAGGCACCCTTTTAGTGCTAGAGAATCAGTATAAACAAAAGTTCCTGCTATCATTGATCTTATACTCTAGTGAGGGAAAGCATAATAAAATAAATATTTAGTATGTTACATAGTAAGTGCTATGATGAAAAATAAAATGTGTATTAGTTTGCTAGAGCTGCCAAAGCAAACTGGGTGGCTTAAAACAACAGAAATTTATTCTCTCATAGTTCTAGGGGGTAGGAGTCCAAAATCAAAGTTTTGGCAGGCCCTCTGAAGTCTCTAGGTGATGATCCTTCCTTGCTTCTTCCTGGCTTTTGCTGGTTGGTGACAATCCTCAGCATTTCTTGATTTGTAGACACATCACTTAAATCTCTGCTTCTGTCATTACATGATACTCTTCCTTTGTGTTTGTATGTATCTCTCTGTCTCTCCTCTTATAAGGACACTAATCACTGGATTCAGGGCCTACCCTAACCCAGTGTGACCTCGTCTCAATGTGATTACGTCTGTAAAGATCTAATTTCCAAATAAAGTCACATTTACAGGTATGGGGGTTAGGACTTGAACATAGCTTTTGAAGGGACACTATTCAAAAGATAGGGAAATAGTGCTGAGTTGATTGCTATGTTAAAATACAATGATCATGGGAGTTCTCAGTGTTGAGGTGATAATTGAGTAGAGAGAAGGTGATGAAAAAATCTGCTATGCGAATATTGAAGGAAGATCACAGTATTCTTTTTCTACAAAGAACCACATA